TCACCTGGGTTAAAACTAGAATTAACTAAGTTATTCAAGCTCGCATATAAATCATCGAAGGTCTTATTATCCTTCATCCTAATTTTTTCAAATCTAGTGGTCAACATCTGTAACTTAGAATTTTTAACAGCCTGAGTTCCCTCATGTGTAGTCTGTAAAATATCTCAAACCTCTTTAACAACCTCACACATAGACAAACGCCTAAATTCTTCAAGTGATACGATCATAAATAGAGCATGAAACCCTTTACTATTCCAATTACACTCATCTAAATCTTTCTTAGACTAAGTTGAAATATCAGTAAGGGTAACTACACCTACAACTATGGTAGATGGGGCGGTCCAACCATTCACTATGCTCATCCATTGATTTCATAAAGACTCTCATTCTAATTTTTCAATAAAAATAGTTACTGCCATCAAAATATGGCGAGACAGATAATAAACTACTCAACTAGAAAACTAGGGTCATGAATCAAATTTGGGCTCTGATATCACATGAAAGTTAATAGCTCAACCATAAAATCACCTAATAGGTGAATAATGCGAAATTAAAATTTATCAATTAAAAGCAACAAGTCACTTTTTAATTGTTCTAAATATTTAGTCAATCAAGTCAAATTATCCTATGTTGAATTACCACAATAAACAATTAAAATAGTAAATAACACAAAATTTGATGACAGAAAAAACCCTTAATTGGGTAAAAACTCTGGGACCAAGCCAATAGTTTTCACTATAAACAATAAGTATTTAAAGTAGGATCCAGCCTAGAAAATTCACTAGACTTGCTGATCTAATTCCTACAATTTCAAAGACTCGTTGGAACATGTTTCACTCATACCTGCTCCCGATCTTCTGGAACTATCTATCTCATGTGGAACGCCTCGCTTTTGTACTCTTCTTGCGCTTCTAGTCAAACCTCCCTCAAACTTCAGCAACCTCTGAAAACTATTGAAAAAGTACATTCATAATGATATCTAGGAAGTGAGTATTTTGAATTATATGAAATTCGGTGTTTTTTCAAACTTGTGGTTGATTGATCTCAAGAGTCAAAAGGTTAATTTAGATCATTGGATGTGTTTTTGGATCTTGAAATGATGTTATGAAGATGTAAAGCAATGATCAACCACACTCAAAAACGTAATGACCATTGGGTATTTATAACATGAGGAGTTTAGCTAGTATAGGATAGATAAAACTCTTGAAAAACGTAAACTAGGGTTTCTCGAAAAACACCGTCGATCAAGCTCCGGCTAGCAACATGCGAACGAGAGGTATGTCGCTTGAGCGAGAGCCGGACGATAATGATTCTGTTTTGGACGATCGAGCATCGGCTTGGCGACAAGTTAGCATAAATTCGGCTATTCTTTCTTCTTGTTCCATACTTGAACTTAAAGACTTCTAATTCATTTATAGAACCCTCCAAAAGACTCATTAACTTCTACAACTCTTTTGTAACAGTCATATTCTTTTACAATAATCCTTTTGTCTAAAAAATTGCCAATACAACTAAAATCTAACAAAAAGCATCAAAACTAAAATAGAGTGAACAATGTGAAACTACATTACATGCTCATCTACAATTGAAGAACATGCTACTTCGGAGTCTTGGCATTACTCTAAAATAAGTTGTAATAGATAAATTGATCCTAAACAAGGTAATGAATACTAAACTAAGTATTTCAGATTTGCAAGTTGGAATATTAACAATGCACAAATCTTACAAGCACAGCTTCCCACCCCCCTTTAAGTAACATTGCAGTTGAGAACTTTCAATAAAAAAAATTTGTAGGGAAACAACTTGGTAAGAAACTAATAATCCTTCAAACTCAGGGACGGGCCAGCCTATGCTACAGCCTGTCCCTCCAGCCGAGATCCTAAGTAAAAAAAAAAAAAATTAGTTAAAAAAAAAAATTGTGTAAATTTTTATTTTATTTTTGTTTTTTAGCCCGTCCAATTTTTTTCTGGATCCGCCCCTATCAAACTTCTCCATAGAGTTAAACCAAATCATGCTCCAGTATTCTTATCGATTTCGAAAAAATAATGAAATGCCACTAAAGCATTGATAATGGATTAAAACGACAACAAACCTCGTGCACCGAAGTGGTTGGACTTTGCTGACTTCCTCCTTCGTGGTTGAAGAGAAGCAATTTTCCCAAATTGATTTCTGGGGTTCATTCTAGGGTGAGGTTCGGGTGGATTGAATTTGGAAATCATCTGATGTGTTTTCTGGTGAAATCATGTTCTTCGAACAACAACTCTTCATGTGGCCACATTATAACGCCATCCAGTGCCACGTCGAAGCCCGTTTTGCCACCTCGAACGCCATTGAAAAGGTTGTTTGAATAGTGGTGGATGGAGGCAATTTCTAGTAAGTTTAGTGACCATCTAGATTAATAACATAGTTCAATGACTATGACATGACATTAGGCAAAGTTGGATGAGTATTGAAACTTACTATACAAAAAAAGGGCAAAAAGGCAAAAAAAAAAAAACACACAAACAACGTCAACCACATTAAATTGGAGGTGGTTGGAATAACTTTCAATTATAGTATATTGACTATAAGAACAAGTTATGGGTCCCTCCATCTTTAGTCCACCAAACTCACCAATATTCATTACATTATAATCTATGGTACCCTACACGTGGATGCTAGCTGTTGTAATTAAAGCCCCCGTATATTTTTATTTTTATAAATAACTTTCCATCATTATTAAATTGACTAATAATAAAAAAAAGAAATAATCAATCATTATTAAATAAGCAATGCATCACTTTCACAATGCTCGCTCACTTTTTTTATTTTTTATTTTATTTTTTCCTTTTTTCGTGCAATCAATAGTGTCTTTATTCCACAGCGCAAATGAAAATTAATCGTATTATTTCTGGTTGGTTTTCTTTTTACGTACGACCAATAGTTTCTTTATTCCACGACACAAATGAAAATTACTCGCATTATTATTAGTTGGACATTGCATGGATCGACGAAAACTCTATCTTGGACGTGTTCGGTAGAGATTAAAGTTGAAAAATTAGTCGTTATTGTTGATTTTTATTAGACGAGTGGGACCCATTAACGGTCATATTTTCAATTTTAATTGGATTTTAAGGTGTACCGAACATGCCCCTAAATTAGTAGTTTCTTTTGTTAAATTATAAAAAGTGTTGATTTTCAATTACGACAATAATAATTAAGTCTTATTTCAAAAAAGATTTTCTTTTTCTAAAAAATTAAAAACCTTTAAGCTAATTTCAGCCTAGAACATCATTTTTAATTGTATCGAGCCACAAATTGACACCTAAGAAATTGCCTAAAGATGTGGGGAAAGGTTGATCCGAGGGGTGTAAAATAAGTAAATAACATGAAAAGCTATGTTATAATGATGAAACCCATTAATTAAAAAAAAAAGGGGAAGAAACAGCAAATCTGACAAAAAGAAAAACAAAATCCCACTACAATGAGTTGAAGAGGTTGATGTTTGAACTTTGAAGGTCGTTTTAATATTGGGAAAATTCATCTAAGGCCATTCAACTTGCAGGTTTATTTCATATAGTTAATCTAATTTTGATGATCAAATCGTCGAATTGAGAGTACAAGAATATTAAAATGTAAAAAAGAAAAGTAAATTTTGAAGTGAGCCGGATGATTTTTTACATGTTTTAAACGATATTCTTTTTTTTCGAATTTTTACACACGTCGATTCTCAATTTTTTTTATCGAACCGGCCAATCCGCTTCGTAAGCCTTGGTTTAACGGAATCATCAAACTTATAGAATTCATTATACGACCAAAAAAGTTTGTATCCCGATTAATAATTTTGTAACGTGACTAATGGAATAAATAAAGTGCATGTCATTTGACACTATAATAAGCCCCTCCTTTTAAAATAAACATGAAATTTAGAAATTCAATTTTCTAGTAACCGAAAGAATTTGCGTTGACAAAAATATAAATAGATCATGAATTTTATCAGTTTTTTATTTTATTTTATTTTATTTTGTGATAGTTAAAGAAAGAATCATATAATAAGTAAATTTAAACAAAAATATAAGATGAGTGATTAAATTAAAACAAATTAAATTTGAGTGACTAACATGAAACAACCTGTAAGGTAGGTGACCTCTAATGAAATTTCCTTATTAAGTTATTTGTAACTCGGTTGGTAGTGACACTTTTACTGAAATTCACTCCCCACAGTGCCAAACAATGCGCAAAGAAAAGAAAGAAAAGAAAATGGGCGCTGTATATTTTTTCTAATGTTCATCCCATAAAGACTCGATTTTTATATGACCGTTTGATGTCTGATCAGTAATTGACTTTTTATGCTGATTGGATCTCATTTGATAGTTCCCAATTCTTCTTTCTCTGGAAATTGAGCTTTGATTGGAGATGGTGGGATTTTGAAAAAGGAATTTGCTTCCAAGGTTCGTCTTTCTTTGTTACTTGTTATTTCGTGAACTGTTCTGGTTTTCAATGTTTATATGGATCTTCGATTCCATTTCTTGTGCCCGTTGATGTGTATATTCCTTTCTATTTATAAAATGTATTTTATTTTAGTTGTTCTAAATAGAGGCTTGGGATTTTATGTTAACATGCCCAGGGTTTCATTTGAGTTTTAGAAGAATATATTTGCTTGTTTAAACTTTTTGAGCTCTAATTCCATATTGAACCCTTATACCTTCGATTATTTTATGGGATTTTACTGTTCTTAGTTCTTTTTCTCATTTAGCTCTGATACCATAATCGGTGGAATAGCACCAGCCCTTGTAGGTTGATTATATGTAGTTCTTAAACTTTCTTATGTGCTCCATGTAGGAGAACAATGAGCACGAGAATAGCTGCACCTGGAATTTGCGAGGAAGTTCTTATCTCTGTATATAGTATGTTCTCGAAAAATAATGATACAACATGAAGTCTTAAAGGTTGATTGGAAAAAGAACCTATTTGTGAGGATTTTGAGTCTTTTGAGTGTGTCCAAACGTCTGGTCAGGACAATGAGTCAAAAGCTGAAAAAGAAGAATTACAGAAATGATGGTGATGATGAGGATGATATTGAGCGAATGTCTTTAAATTGTCTTACTCTTTATGGCAGAGTTGGAGGTTGCAAAGTAAGTGCTGACATTAGTGAAGTGTTTGGGGATCCGTGCATTAGAAGACGGTCGAGTGCAATCAAGGAAATGAAAAGGTGCGCAGCCATATGTGGATCGGAGGAAGCAACTATAGATTGCTTTTCCTATGGAAAGAAAGAGAAATTTTGGAAGAGGAACAACAGAAAGCTTTTAGGATATGAAGAAAAACAACAAAATAGTATCATGAACGTGCATCTTCCAGATGACATTCTAGAAATGTGCTTGGTGAGACTCCCATTTGGAAGTCTCATGAATGCTCGTCTTGTTTGTAGGAAATGGAAGAACTTGACCACGACCCCTCGATTTATGCAGATGAGAGTAGAAGGCTTATTCCGGAGTCCATGGTTGTTTCTCTTTGGTGTTGTTAAAAATGGTTATTGTTTAGGGGAAATACATGCATTGGATGTTTCCCTTAAGCAATGGCACAAAATAGATGCTCAAATTCTCAAGGGAAGGTTTTTATTTTCCGTTGCTAGCATTCGGGACGATGTTTACATAGTCGGAGGTCGTTCTAGCTTGACTAGTTTTGGAAAGGTGGATAGGAGTTCATTCAAGACGCACAAAGGAGTTTTGGTCTTTAGCCCCTCGACTACATCGTGGAACAAAGCTGCATCCATGAAATATGCCAGATCATCGCCTGTTTTAGGAATTTCCGAGATTAGTCCTGATTATTCAGTCATGAGAAATCAGCAAAATCGATCGGACAGACATTTAAACAGGTCAAGGATTGGTGGTGTATCAGATGTCTATGAGGATCCTCACAGACTTTCACTTAGACGCCAATCTAGACACCCTTTTGATGAAAACGATATTCCACCATTGCCCAATATGAAGCCAAAGCAAACAAATGAAAAGCCATGCCCCAAAGATGGTAGAAAATTTGTATTGATTGCTGTGGGAGGCCTTGGATCTTGGGACGAGCCATTAGATTCTGGGGAAATATATGATTCTGTATTAAATAAATGGATCGAAATCCAGAGACTACCTCTAGATTTTGGGGTGGCTTGTTCTGGTGTTGTTTGTAATGGGACGTTCTACGTTTATTCAGAGAGTGACAAGCTTGCTGGATATAACATAGAGAGGGGATACTGGGTTAGAATGCAAACAACTCCATTTCCACCTCGAGTTCACGATTACTATCCGAAACTTGTATGCTGTAAAAGTCGGCTGTTCATGCTATCTGTCTCGTGGTGTGAGGGAGAAGGTCGTATAGGCAGGAGAAACAAAGCAGTTAGAAAGCTATGGGAGCTTGATCTTATGTATCTTACATGGAATGAAGTGTCGATACATCCAGATGCCCCAATGGACTGGAATGCTGCATTTGTTACTAATGAAGACCTTATATTTGGGGTCGAGATGTTCAAAATATTCGGACAGGTTTTGGATTTCGTGACTATGTATGACGTGACTGACACAGGAACAACCTGGAGTCATATTTCGAGGAACCATGTTGCACGTGACCTGGACACTTCGTCTTGCATGACAAAGTCAATGGCAGCGCTGCAGTTGTAACTAAGACCTCCAACATCTACAGCATCGTGGCAAGACCTTTCCAAATTCTTTATGTAGAGTTTGTAAAATGCGATCGTGATTGTTTTTCTTTCTGGTTCTTGTATTAAGGATGTTTATTTGGTCCTACCGTAATATTTTTTGCGGCAATAGAAATAAGCTACGGATTGGTAACATGCATATTCTTTTACATGTGTTTTATGTGTTGTTTACTGTGAATGATTATGGTACTGAATTCTGATATCCATTTTAATTACTTGGGACTCTTTCTGACAAAATTGTGAGACGCCATTACTTTCAGGTTTTCTTATTTCTAATGATAAGTTGTTATTTTGAGCCGGCGACTGGGAGTTGAGTTCTGAACAAGGAAAGAGATTAGAGAAACACGTCTTTATTTGTGTTTTTCACAAGAATTTTCCTCGATTGTCACTAAATAATAAACTATAACAAGCAATTTCATATTTGAATTTGCACAAGCAAAGATGGAGATTCAGTTTCTCATGCAAGCTAGTCTAGTTGATAGAAAAGCTCGAAGATATACCTTTCGAGTTCTCTGTGATTGATAGTTTTTAAATTTTTGATTTAGTAAAAATCGACCTTCATTTGTGTGTATGTTTGCAAGGAGATAGAATAGTACCACGAGTGTAAAATATTTCGTTGCATAACTCTGCTATAGAGGGGGGTGGGGGGGAGCAGAAGCTTGACGGGAAAACCACTTAATTTATTATTAAATATAACGGTATAGAATCCAAAACAATACAAATCTTGGGTGGAAGCAAAAAGAATGTGACCTTGAGCTAAGGTCATTAACTTTGAAATACTAGAAAGACGTGGTCCTAAACATATTGCATAGGTGCTGAATTAGTACCTGGAATAAACTTTAGGAAAGTCTTAAATCTCTCCATAGCCAAATTCTACTCTTCATTTTTTCAATCGAGGCAACTTTACCCAGCTAGCCGTGGGATTTCTTGTTTGATGAGTTAAAGGGGTCGTGTGCGCCGGCCACTTGCCCGGCCACAGAGACGAGCATTCTTGGGGATAGGGAACTCATCCCTCAATGAACTTGAGGTGGTATACACCCTCAAATAGAGCTGTTGTCCGAGATACTGTCGAGCCCAAAACTCTGATCTTAGGTTCCACATTCCCACATTGTCAAGTGCGACGTAAATTGCAGTCCACGACTTGGGATACACCTGCAAGTACCAAAGGTAGGAAACATTTCAGGTCTAGTTTTTTTGATCGGGCAATTTCGTTTCAGTGAATGTTTTGTACGAAACATAATAAAATATACATGTTTTAAGCTTCTCTTTTTTGTTCTTTAATTCTTTTGAGTATGGTACGGTCCCCTTTATCAAACAAGCTATGACAGTATATTGCTAGGAGATTATGAGATTCGAGCCAATTCCATATCACCTGAGTAGTGCAACGAGACACTGCATCACGAAGATTGTACTGGTTCCTGCTAGCGGTAGTCCATTGCCCTCCATCCATTCTGGATTTGAGATAAAGCAATTACTAAGTATGTCGATGGAAGAAATGAAAGCTAACTAGCTCAAATTACACAAAAAATGAGTGCATACGAGTTTATTTTCCCCGTGCTTACCCCACTACAAAGAAGGAGTAGCCATTCAGGTGATAGCTCTGTAAAATGTCCTCCTCGTTCTCAAAAATAATTTCAATGAATGCTCTGTAATCAGCACCCAGTACGGATGTGTCAAGGTATATTCCTCCACCAGTAGGAGCACCAGAGACGCTCCCAACACGAAAAACTCCACCAATGTTGAAGTAGTCAGCAATCTTTAGAGGAGTGTCAGCCGGCACAAAGGATACACTGTTGATCGCATATCTCTGTTTACCGTTGACTTGACCAGCAGAACTCGACAACCTAATAGTTTTTGTAGTGTTTATCATGCCATAATGGTATGAACCTTGCGGATTTGGTCTCGGTCCACTTGCTGTAAGATTAGTCCTAAAATACAAACAATTCACATACAATAATCACTTACTGATTAATCGCAAAATGGATTAGAATACTAAATCCAGTGTTTTGCTAAATGCAGAAAGAAAATGAGATTACCTGATCGAACGAGCCTGGTTTAGTGACCAATCAATTTGAATTGTTGGTCCACCGGGTGGAGGGCCGGAGACCTGAGTATTTGAATTTGCGTAGTGAAGAACTCCAGTCGTAGTAAGTATCTTACTTGTGAAGCGGGAGGACACAACAATGTAGTGGTCCTTAGAGGCTTGATCTGCCGTTATAAGCACAGAGTAAGATTGACCAACGTGAACATCAAGGGACGAGTATGTAGTTTGGAGAGTATGAGTTCCTTCCACTTCGACCAATGTCATCTTGTGTCCTTCAATGCGGAAGTTGAGTGAATTTCGTAATCCAACGTTCGATATCCTAAGCCGGTAAGTTTTTCCTGTTATGCATAGCATTAATTTTGATTAGACTTAGCAATGTGATGAAATTGGAACAGATTAATCGACTTTTAGCAATTGTAAGTTGCTTAAATAATGCACATATTTATAGATGACAATTGACAAACCTTGTTCGACAGTCAAAGAGAAGCCATTGGTACCACGTCCATTAATGAGAATTCCATCTGGGAAAGGCAACTTTCTGCCCCGGTCGAGAATTGCCTTCAAGGCCTATACAGATGAAGATCAAAGCACACATCAGCTAATGACATCGATTTCCAAAAGCAAAATCTAATCATTATCAAATTCGACCAAGAACGTAATTATTTAAAGTAAAACTAAATAGTTAAGCAACTAGTTATTCAATGAGTAGCTTGTTATTTGAAGCATTAACTTTCTATAATTCCGTTGCATCAAATAATAAGCTGTCACGTAAGAATGACTACTGCAATCGCTAACTACGAATAACATGACTCCACGTTTTAGGGTGCTACATAAACTAGACAAGAAAGGAGGGCCCTGAATTAGTCAGGTGTGATTCACAAAGCCCAACTTTTTCTGGGCCTAAATAAAGACGGATCAAAGGACATCCACCTGTGATGGCCCACTTGTTAAAAGTGGTCAAAGGTTTTAGCTACCGACACTGATAATTAAAGCCCATGGCCCAAATTAAATTGGCAGCAGCCTCCACTTTACTCGGTTACCGGCACAACATGCTGACATAGAGCCATCTGACTTGGCCACCCATAATCAAATTGTATATATTTTTAATCTTTTGTGAGAATTTAATTTCATGCTAAGCCTAATAAACTTTAACAGAACATGCTCTAAATTGTTGAGAAGAATTCAATTTTCAGCTAACCCTATGCATTTTCAGTGAGGCAGCAAGCATGAGCCGAAGAAAAGGTAAAAGAAGACTGGGGAAGAGTTTACCGTGTGATTTTTCTTGTACCAATCTCCGATCAAGAGAGTGTGATCGCCGGCAGGATCCGAGAACGGAACTGGAATTTTGGGTCGGCTGAGGATTTTGATGCCTCCAAAACCACCGGCGGCCTTGTGGAATGCGAGCGATGGGTAATAGTAAAAGCTTCCGATTTGATCCTTCACCTGTAGAATGTATGTGAAGTTTTTCCCTGGAGGAATTGGACATGTTGTTCCATATACTCCATCTTCAAATGAATTCCTCCTGTTTTGGATTCCATTCCTGCATTTTCCCCAACCAAATTCGTTTCAAAATCATCCAAAAACACGGGAATTTCAGTTCCAATTAACCAGTTAATCATGTTTTTTTGTTTAATCAAGCTGTCTTACACGAAATTCAATGAGGAATCTATTCTCACGACTGAGAAAGGGGAAGATGACAGTATGACTTTTTCTTTGGAACTGCTGGAAAACTTTAAAGTTAAAAAATAAGTTACCACTTATAAATTCACTTTTAAGTAAATGTATTTTAAATTTACTTATTAGTAAATAAGTGAAATTTCTAAGCTTAGCCAAACATGCAAGCCAGCTTTATGCCGCCGGACCGCCCAAAGTTAATGTGGAGCGGTAGCCCACACGCTGATTTCAGTAATTGTCTTTCACGTGCATGCAATGCTAGCCCAAGGTTAAAACTAGACAATAATACATTTCATAATTATTATTAATTTATTATTCAAATATTTAATGAGATTCAATACCATTCTTTCCCAAAAAAAAACTTTTAGACCATCACACCCATCCCGTCACATATTCATCGTAGTTGTACAATCGAGGTTGACAACCAATCACGTCGGGAATCCATTTTTTTTTTGAATTTCTTAAACATGCGAACCCCTCACACATGTCAGAGATTGTCAATCTCGATTGTACAAATAGAATTTTCCCTACAGATATCATCCTCGTTTATTGTATCTTTGCCACCCATGGCACAGGCATGCATCAAGTTAAATTCAGTGACCAAATATTTTTAATGCTCACATGAATAACTAGACTACCACATAAATGTGTAGGCGTAAATAATTGTGCACATGGATTGCTTTATGGCCATTAATTCACTATAACTTGGTGTCAAACGCTAGTTCAGATGACAGATACGTGTTATTAAATGACGATTTATTTAAATGCAATATCACATTAGTCATTTTATTAAATATATTAATTAATTGTGATCACCTAAATCCCTGCTAGATGGCATTATTCCTAACAATTATCATCTTTATTTAGAATGTGCCACTTTATACTGCTGCTGGATGGGAAATTTTAGCAGCACGTCTTGGAATTTTTAGCCCTTGTTTGAACTTCATTACGAAAGAAAAAAATGTATTTTTGAATAATAATTTTCGATTTATGTATAATATTATTTTATAAAAAAAATGTGTAGTTAAAAATGAGAATTTTCAAAAAATTGGAGCTCAAAGAGATTAGAGAATGTTCGTATTGCAAAAACTAGTAATGGACTGAAATAACCTCTAATAATATTGCAAACGCTAGGCAAGACTAAGAACTAAGTCCCTGAAGGGCAGTATTGTCACTTAATGAAAGCGTTGAAATCATTAACCTAGTAGGCAGATCAGTTAAAAAGACTTGCACAACCCCCACTA